ATAGAAAAGTAGGAAAAAAGAAAATTTCCTTTTGTTTTGTTGCTTGAACAATGGCACAGTCCACATTTGTTACATCTGTTTGTTTTGTTTTTAGAGACAGGGTTGGTTTATTTCTTTGGGTTCTGAGCATACTTTTACTTGCAACCCCCCCACCTTTTCCTCTCCCATTCTCCTACCCCACTATTCCCTCCCTGTCCTTTCATATATTCCTAACAGCTATTTATTAATGAGAGGCTGAGTCATGAATATATTTCTTTCATTAAACTTATCAAGTGGAGTTTCAGAAGATCACAGATAAATTTCAAGAATTTCTAAGCCTTGCAAGTTGTTCCTGTGGGTTATTAACCTTGTGATTCAATCTAGAAACTGCTTGGCATAGTTAAGAATAATTTGCATTTTAAATTTTGTTTAATTAGGCAACGGCTGTTTACCAAGCAAAGGAGAAACTCAAGTCAATAGAGAAAGCAAGAAAAGGTTAGTATCATGGGTAGGCTGGCTGACTTAAAATGCAAGTCTGTGTCTCAAGAAGCTGATAAAGGTCCAGGAGATGATTCAGTGGGTGAAAAGTTTGTGGTTCATGTGTGATCCCTAGAATCCATATAAAGCTGTGCGTGTGCCCATACTGACATGTTTTCACACACACACATGCATACATTCTCACATGTGTTTACACATAAAATTTTTTTAAGCTGATAAAAATACTAATCACGCTGTTGAAAGGATGCCCAGTAGGTTTTCACTGTAAAGTGTGTTGTGTTCTTACATTGTAGTTGGCATCCCAGAGAGGGTAGACGTGTCTTACAACCCTCCCCTAGTTACAAGCAGCAATCACTTGTGCCCTTCACTTACATGTATAGTAAAGACAACAGTCTATAAAACTGTTAAGAGAGAGAAATGGGATTTACATAGGATCTTGCAGGCTAGGCATAGAGAACAGTAGTGACCACACTGACTGAGGTGGAGCACTGCCTGCCTGCCTGCCTGCCTTTGCCCACTTGAAAGCCTTACATCAGAGCTCACTAGATCTCCAAACACTGAGAGTGAAATTATGGTTATTTGGCTTTAATACCTTGTACTTTTGGTGTGATTTGTTTTCCTCTTGCCCGTTTGGAATCTGCTTTCTGATGGTTACATGTGAGAAAACAGCTAACATTCTCTGAGAGATGGGAGGGCTTCTATAGCAAGAAGCAGATCTTTAGGAGAGGTTGCTGACTGGTTAGAAGTCCATAGTTCTTTTTGAAATAGGTCCAAAGTATAGAAGGAAGAGCTGCTCCTGTTCCTCGGAGACAGTTGCTGTTACTGTTTGGTGCCCGGTCCATCTAGAACCTCCTCCTCGGTAGTCAAACAGGATGTGGACTGCTGGCTTAGCAGCTTGGATGTTGCTGGAATGGAGTGCTTTCCCCTCATTTTACTGTTCCTCACTGTGGTAGTCGGAAGAGTTCTGCGTTTGATGGCCGCTAGTAATTGAGATTATTGAGCATTATCATACAGGTCTCAAATTTAGGTTAGCTGATTTTGCTGAATGGTGTCTTGGTTCTTTAGTTTGGAAATGTTCATAACAGTTTCAGTGTATATGCAGCTGTTAGGGAAGATAGATGGCTGAGATTATCCTATTTTCTGATTGTTTGAAATTAAGTATGATGGGTGATTGTGATGTACACTCTTCTAAACTTGTATTTGCTGATCCGAACTGTTGTATTTTCTCAACTCAGGCGCTATCTCCTCAGAAGAAATCATTAAATATGCACATAGGATTAGTGCAAGCAATGCTGTGTGTGCACCACTGACTTGGGTTCCAGGTAACAATGCTTCTTATATAAGATTAAAACTATTTAAATGGAGAATGCACTTACCTAAAATAACATCTGCTAATAAAGTATTTTTCTTCAGTGTCACAGTAAGGCCATCTGTGACCTGTTCTCTCTCAAGAGTATGCATCATCGTTACATTTCCTACTAGGAAGCAAAATTAAGTTGGAAGAATTGAGGTTGTTAGAATTTGCCTACCTCTGCCTCCTGAGGGCTGGGATTAATGGATGTGCCACCATGCCCAGCTTGAGAATTTTAAATGCAACCAGGCAAGGTATGGTAGTACATACTGTAAAGGCAACAACTGGAGAGGCTGAGGCGGGATTGCAAGTTTGAGGCCAGCATGGGCTACATAGTGAGACCCTTCTTGTCTCACGAAGAGCTTGAGATTTTTAGTGTGCACCAAGGAAAGATAATACTTCAAAGGACATAAAATGTTTCTTTAAAACCTGAGGTAAAAGCTCTGTTTATTGTTTTAGGAGACCCTCGGAGGCCGTACCCCACTGATTTAGAGATGAGAAGTGGGTTGTTGGGTCAGATGAACAACCCTTCCACGAGTGGTGTGAACGGTCATCTCCCAGGGGACGCCCTGGCAGCAGGTAGACTGCCAGGTAATGTGAACTGGAAGGGTGTTTGTTTGCAAGCAGACCAAGGCTTTTCAGAGATGCCAGTGAAACATCATCTAGCAGCGAACACTTCTGTCCCTGCGTGCATCTTCTGTCATCCTCCCTAGCACTGGACCTTTCCTTTACTACTACTATGAAGAGCATTTTTGCAATTGTGAGGCATGCATGTTTTGTAGGTGCCATGTTTTAATGTGAAAGATTCTTTTTTTTTTTGGTTTTTCGAGACAGGGTTTCTTTGTGTAGCTTTGCGCCTTTCCTGGATCTCGCTCTGTAGACCAGGCTGGCCTTGAACTCACAAAGATTCACCTGGCTCTGCCTCCCAAGTGCTGGGATTAAAGGCGTGCGCCACCACCGCCTGGCTTTTGAAAGATTCTTTGTAAAGGAGAAGGGACATAAGTGGGGGACTGTGCTTTCTGAAGCCCATTTTTAGCTATCACCTGTGTCCTAAAGTATAGATTTGGGAACTCTGTGCTTACTAATTCCCAGATATTCCCTTCTTTCTCATTGCGATTGTACTACACTGTTGGTTAGTTATAATCCTTTTGAGAGACAAACCACACCAGCAACTTGAGTAGGAAAATTGAAAGAATTATTAACTAGCAACAGATACGGATGAATAGCCATTATATATAGGACCATGGCACAGGACCCATGGTTGGGGGAGGAGGTAGATAGATGTAGTTTGTTGTTTGTGTGTTTAGCACATGTGAACTCTAATCTTGTTAGGTCTTTGGTACTACAAGGTAGGTGGGTTGGTAGAATTAAATTATTGCATAAAGGTGGGTGATTGACATGTAGATGGATTACAGATAGAACTAATCCTATGTGCTGCTTTTCTCCAGATGTCCTTGCTCCACAGTACCCGTGGCAGTCAAATGACATGTCTGTGAACATGCTACCACCCAATCACAGCAGTGACTTTCTGCTGGAGCCTCCTGGGCACAACAAGGAGAACGAAGATGATGTCGAGGTTATGTCAACAGACTCTTCAAGCAGCAGTAGTGACTCTGATTGAAGAAGGCGTGTGGCAGCACACCGACCAACTCCTGTGCTGTAGAGATCTGTCCCAAGGGAAATGCAGACCACAGACGGCTGGTTTTCTATGTCATTTGCTGGGCACATGTTTGAGGATTAGTCAGAATTCCTGTTGTGTTGAGTTCATACTTAGCAGCTCTGGAAAGGAGACTGAAGGAGAGTGACACACGACTCTGGGATTACTTGAAAGGGCTGAGCCAGGCATGGAGACTCATACCTGTAATCCCAGCACCTGGGAGACTGAGGGATTGTTGTGTGTGCAGGGCCAGCTTGAGCTACATAGTAAGCTCTGAGCCGTCATCAGGGCTACAGAGCAGCTCTGGCCAGAACCAAGGCTGTGGAGTGTGTGGTATTTCAAACAGAAAGTGCTCACTTGAAAGTAGAGTCGGCTGCTTTTGCGGCGACAGAACTGTCACTATTTTAGGTGGGGTAAATACTGTAATTTGTGTAAATAAACTTGCTTTTCTTTGTATTTATTTTTTCAATTTTCTTTTTAATTTATATGGTTTTTTATTTAGGTACACCATCAGTGTAGGAAGGAAACATTTAAATCCAGTTGCATTTAAGCTGGGCAGTGGTGGCACATGCCTTTAATCCTAGCACTCACTCAGAGGGCAAAGGTAGGCAGATCTGAGTTGGAGGCCAGCCTGGTCTACAAAGCCAGTTCCAGGATAGCCAAGACTACACAGAGAAATCCCTGTCTTGAAAACAGAAAGCAAACAAAAAAATCTAGTTGTATTTTATGATATTCAAATAATATTCTGGTATATATAAGAATATACAAGATAAAATAACTATCTTAACTAGTAATCACAATTAGGTTTCTGGGAACATTAATAATTAAAAACATTACAATCCCATACCACACAGACACACATAAATTTTTTGTCCTGAGTGCTGGGATTAAAGGTGTGCACCTGTGGTGATACTTTGTTAGTGTTCTAACAAATAAAGCTTGCCTGGAGATCAGAGTGTGGAGCTAGCCGCAAGAGGCCAGACAGTGGTGGCACACACCTTTAATCTGGGAAGAGGAAACAGGAAGTGATAAGGCAGGTGGAGACAGGAGCTCCGCCCTTTGCAGTATGAGGATTCCTAGAGGTAAGTCTTTCTAGTGGCTGGCTGCTCTCTGATCTTTCAGCTTTTACCCTGCTCTCTGCCGGGTTTTTATTAACACCAATTAGAATTGGAGCTACACAGGCCGCCACCACCTGTTGGTTGTTCTTCACTCTTTGTTCTTTGGCTTTGGGGGACCTTGCACCCAGCTCCCATGAATGCCCAGCCTTAGCTTGGCTTGCTTCTAGCCTGCTTTTCTTAAATTATCCCATCTATCTTTTTTGCCTCTGGGTTTTTACATTTCTCTGTTTCTGTATTTCCTTTCTTTCCTTATTCCATGTCTGACTATGTGGCTGGGTGGTTGGCCCCTTTTCTCATTCCTTCATCCCCTCTTCCCAGATTTCTCCTATTTATTCTCTGTGCTTGGCAGCCCCGCCTATCATTTCTCCTGCCTCCCTATTGGCCATTCAGCTTTTTTAAAAAAAAAAAAAATACTTATTTAACTTCATTTTATGTACATTGGTGTGAAGGTGTCGGATCCCCAGAACTGGAGTTACAGACAGTTGTGAGCTGCTATGTGGATGCTGGGAATTGAACCTAGGTCCTCTGGAAGAGCAGCCACTGCTCTTAACTTCTGAGCCATCTCTCCAGTCCCCATTCAGCTCTTTATTAGACCATCAGGTGCTTTGGACAAAGTAACACAGCTTCACAGAGTTAAACAAATGCTATGTAAAATAATGCAATACATCTTTGCATCATTAAGTGTTCCACAGCATAAACAAATGTAACACATCTTAAACTAATATTCTACAACAACCACCCAGCCCATAGAGTAAATTTTATGGAAGGTTTTGGAATGGAAGGCCACTATCTCCTGTCATCACCTTGTCTCCTTATCTCATGTTTTACATACAGGACTAGGTCTCTGCTTATATAATGTACACAGGCTAGCCCGGGACTTGCAGTTACCCACTTTAGCCTTTTACTGTAGTTTGTCAAAAGGAGTTACTCTGAACTGTTTTTAACTTCAAGCACTTAACATCTGTGTCTAAGATGTTTGTAAAATTACCAGTTTTAGGCAAATATTTTTTTTATAACTGCAAATGTATTTTAACATTATTGTAGAACATTTAAGAAACAGCATAAAACATAAACTTAGCCTACCAGAGTTAGTACCAGTTAACATTTTGGTATAGATTCTTGTTAAAAATCCACATGTGCATTTATCTCCCAGCACTTGGGAGGCAGAGGCAGGCAGATCTCTGAGTTCCAGGACAACCTGTTACACAGAGAAACCCTGTCATGATAAACAAACAAACAAACAAACAAACAAACAAAAAAACCCTGCAGGGCTAGAGAGATGGCCCAGGTTAAAAGCAGTTAAAAGAGGTTAAAAGCACTGGCTGCTCTTCCAGAGGATCCAGGTTCAATTCCCAGCACCCACACGGCAGCTCACAACTGTCTATAGCTCCAGTTCCTGTGAATCCAGCACCCTCACATATACATGTGTGACAAAAACACCAGTGCACATAAAATAAAAATAAACTTTTTTTTTTTGGTTTTTCGAGACAGGGTTTCTCTGTGTAGCTTTGCGCCTTTCCTGGAACTCACTTGGTAGCCCAGGCTGGACTCGAACTCACAGAGATCCGCCTGGCTCTGCCTCCCGAGTGCTGGGATTAAAGGCGTGCGCCACCACCGCCCGGCTAATAAAAATAAACTTTTAAAAATCCACGTGTGCCAGGCATGGTGACACAGGCCACAGTGCCTGGATGGCAGGGGCAGGCAGATGTCTATGAGTTTGAGGCCAGCCTACTGTACATAGTGAGTCCCAGGTCAGCTGACATGGGTGCGGGGTCCTTAAGACCAAGCAGGAAGCATCTTCCCAGTCCCAGAAGTTTAAGGACCATACACTTACACTTGAACACAAGTATTGAGAAAGATACAGGTGTAAATAAGAGAAAATGGGATTGATAAATAGGTGTAATTTTGAAAAATTTTCCTTAGCAAGCATCACAATAATACAGTGTGTTAAAAGAGCAAAATTCAATTGTTAAGAGACCAGACAAGATTCATAGAGGTGGGCTTGTAAAGGAGAAGATGAGCTATGGTCTAGTGCAGTCATTCAAAATGCCTTTGGTTGCCATTTCTTTCTTTAGTACTTTTGTAATTTTTTTCTTGGAGCCGAGGACTGAACCCCACCTAGTAAGTGCTCTACCCCTGAACTAAAACCCTGCCTCCCCCTTACGTTTTGGATCCCTCTATAAATGCCTAAAAATCATAGATTTTATTTTTATAAGTCTTTATGAAATGATATTTAACATTAGAAATTTAAAATGAGGAAAGTTTATTGACCACATAAAAATCGAATGCATGTTAACAGAGTCTTCTTACAGACTTACAGAGTGAACAAAAAGTCACCAGCGAGAAAGTCATCATGTTATTCTTTGGTAAATCTCTTCAGTGGCTGACCTGACAGGAAGAAGCTGGCTTCTCTCGCCTTTGCAGCCTGTTACAGCGCTTGCTCATCACGTGCAAAGCCCTAGGTTCAAAGCCCACCCAGAAACTAATCATGCACCAGGCAGCTGCCAGGCAACTGTTCTGCCACTTAAAAGAGAATGAGGAGGGATGCAGCTCCAATCTTAGCATCAGGGAGGTTCAGGCAGGAGGATCAGAAGTTCAAGGTTGCCGGGCGGTGGTGGCGCACGCCTTTAATCCCAGCACTCGGGAGGCAGAGCCAGGCGGATCTCTGTGAGTTCGAGGCCAGCCTGGGCTACCAAGTGAGTTCCAGGACAGGCGCAAAGCTACACAGAGAAACCCTGTCTCGAAAAACCAAAAAAAAAAAAAAAAAAAAAAAAGACATTCAAGGTTATCCTCAGCTACAGACAGTGAGTTAGAAGCCAGCCTAAGATATGAGACTGTTAAAAAATAAAAAGGGAAAAAAGTTAGTGATATTTGGATATTATAAAAACAACTCTGGGCTGTACAACAGTCCTCTCCAACCCTCTGCCAGGGCTGTGCACAGGAGGTGTGGGCAGCGTTCCCCCACCAACATTGTTTTTGCTGAGAAATTAGCCCATGTGAGCCAGACCATGGTGGCGAACACCTTTAATCCCAGCACTCAGGAAGCAAAGGCAGGTGGATCTCTGAGTTCTAGGCCAGCCTGGTCTACAGAACAAGTTCTAGGACAGCCAGGGCTACAGAGAAGCCATCACAACCCCCCCCCCCAAAAAAAAAAAAAAAAATTAACCCATGTGAAATAGGAATGCTGGTGAAAGAATAAGACCCCAAAGTAAAGGACACAGCTCACACGGCACCTATGCTGCAGAGTGGACTGGCAACAGAGAAAACCTCACAAGAGCTCACCAAGGGCCTGTGCAGCAGAGTGGGCCAGTGACTGCCTGGTGACAGAAACATCAGCCAGAAAACCATGCTCTGCCTGACCAAGGAAAGATGCGAGCACACGTAATCCAAGGGCTTGGCCTGGACGCTGATCAATGGGGGCTGGTTAGGAGCTTCAGCTATTAACATTAGCTAAGCCTGAGGTGATCCTTTATGCCAAGAAGGTGATTTTCCCAAACCCAAAGCCCCATCTAAAGCCAGAAGCAGCTTCAAATTCAAACCAGCCCCACAGCTTCCACTGCAGACAGGTGCAGCCCTGCGCATGCTGCTCTCAGAGACACTTCACTGTTGAAGCTCTTCTCACAGCGAAACTTGACAACTTGCTGAGGGGGCGGGGGCGGGGTGGGGGGGGTGAGGCAATCAACCAACCAACCTTTGGCCTTGGTGCCCTGCAAAGATCTTGAGGACTCCTGGGAAATCCCCCACACTAGGAGACCAGTGCACTGCTCTGTGTAATCCCAACACACAAGGACACATACAAGATCTCAGGCGGAGAAAGAGGGAGATTCGGATGACTTGGCCTTTAATAGTGGGATCCAAGCTTAGTTGACTCACATTCAGCCCCGATTCTCTGTCAGAAACTAGGAAAGTACAGCATACTACAGGTCATGATCTCTCTAGTTACACAGTCCTTTAAAAATTCTTTTCAAGTAAGAGGAAAAAGGATATCAACAATCATGATGAATTTTGCAGTGGGCAAATTGCTTCCAAACTTGGAACGGCCATATTTGAGTTGCGACCTCTATCTGAATTAGAACAGTAAGACAAACTCTGTGATACTTGCCTCCATGCAGCCAACAACAGTAACTTACAGTAGTACAGATAATTAACCACAAGCTCCTTATCCATCTTACTGAGTGACACAGTCCAGGAAGATTTTCTCAAGGGTTCGAGTTACTTTAGGAGACTGTAAATAAACCAGTGACCACGTGGCTGTGTAGATAAAATGGAGTTATCCTGAAACATGGAATTTTTCATTTACTAAAGTGTTTTTTTTTTTGTTTTGTTTTGTTTTGTTTTGTTGTTTTTTAAATCAAGGAACTGTCCTGGCTCCTTCCAGGTGCTCTCCTCTATACCCGTCCAGGTGGTTCAGGTCCTCTCTAAATGGGTCATAGCCTTGCTCTTTTAAACAACGGAGAGCCCAGAAAAGCTGGTCTGATGGAGGAAATTCTTCCCATGGAATCCACTCCCAACCTAGAAGAGACAGATGATCAGTGCACACAGATGGCAGAGAGCAATGAGCTTTCATTTGGTGAACTGACCTATATTATATATTCAGAAAAACATAAGCTGAGCCGGGCGGTGGTGGCGCACGCCTTTAATCCCAGCACTCGGGAGGCAGAGGCAGGCGGATCTCTGTGAGTTCGAGGCCAGCCTGGTCTCCAAAGCAAGTTCCAGGAAAGGCGCAAAGCTACACAGAGAAACCCTGTCTCGAAAAACCAAAAAAAAAAAAAAAAAAAAAAAAACATAAGCTGAATTTACAAGTGACCTAGCACTAATCAAAGCAACAGTGATGTCTGGGGCTAGCTTGGCTGTGCAAATCAAGTCTACGTTTAGAAAAACGATCTTAGAAAGGGAAGGGTGATCCGTGAAATACCGGGCTGTTTTGTTTCTTTGTTTTGAGACAGGGTCTAATGCACCAAAGCATTTAGTCCATACTCGAACTCATGTGAGGTGTCTATTGTTCTCACAGATAAGAAATGATATCTCACCATTTAGTAACTTGGCCAAGGTCACAGAGAACTGTTAGGTCCAAAGTGAACTCCCAAAATGGCAGTGCCACTGACTATGTGGCACTCACAGTCTGGGCTCAGCTCAGGCTGGTCTCTGACCAGGGTAAACAGAAGGATTGCTGGTACATAAACAAAAGCCTATGCTGTGGAACAATCTCTGCACACTCTAAGTATGTATTACTATCATTGGTTAATAAAAAGTCTACAGCTGGATGGAAGAGATTGGGCGAGAGAGCCAGACTAGGATGCTGAGAAGAAGTGTGGAGTCTTGGGAGTCCTAAGCCAGACTTGGAGCAAGCAGGACATAAAGAAAATAAGGTAACAAGCCATGAGCCATGTGGTAGAACTTAGATAAGAAATATGAATTTTTAAGTTGTAAGAACTACTTAGTAATAAGCCTAAGCTATTGGCCAATATTTATAATTATTTTCATTTATAATTATTAAGTCTCGGTGTGGTTATTTGGGAGCTGGCTAGTGGTCCTAATGAAAAACTCCACCTAAAAGCCTAAAATCAGTGCTCCTTAAAAACTGGTTCTCGCCGGGCGGTGGTGGTGCACGCCTTTAATCCCAGCACTCGGGAGGCAGAGGCAGGCGGATCTTTGTGAGTTCGAGGCCAGCCTGGTCTACAGAGCAAGATTCAGGAAAGACACAAAGCTACACAGAGAAACCCTGTCTCGAAAAACCAAAAAAAAAAAAAAACAAAAAACTGGTTCTCAACCATCCTAATGCTGTGACTCTTTAATATAGTTCCTCATGTTGTGGTGACCCCCCCAACCATAAAATTATTTTCATTGCTACTTTATAACTGTACTTTTGCTATGAATCCTAATGTAAATACCTGTGTTTCCCGATGGTTTTAGGTGACCCTCGTGAAAGGGTTGTTTGACCCCACAGGTTGAGAACTACTGCTTAAAAACTTGTGAATAGGGCTTCTGTCTGTCAGGAAGAGCCACTACTTCCCTTATCTGCCCCTACAGCTCCATGTGGCATCTAGTTCCATAGTAAGACATATCAGAGTCCCCAAGCTAGCACCGTCCCTTCTCCTTCCCTGCAACATCCCCCCAACTCTAAACTTCCAGGCTATTCCAGCTTACAGGGTCCCTCCCAAAACAACCTATTTCCTTAAAACTGCCAAGGCTTTCCCACCTTTGCTATTCTCTGTCCTCCCTCCTACCTCTGGAGATAGCCATGGCAGCTTTCAATTTCTCCAAACAAGCCTTTCTTTCTACCAATGGAGTGATCCAGTTTGGTGGTTGCACTGCATCCTCAGGATCACACAGTGTAAGAACCATGACACAGACCCAGGCAGTCTGTATTTTATGTCCCTCAGGATCTACGTATTTTCACATCTCTACATTTGTCTCTGTCTGAGCTGCTATAACAGGACAGCTTGCACTAAGTGGCTTATACACAGACATTTATTTCACACAGTTCTACAGGCTGGACGACTATGATGGAGATGCTGGCAAGATATGATGTCTGGCAAGATATGATGGGACAGCCATACTCCCTCTGTATCCTCCTATGTAGGAAGTGGTAAGGCTCTCTCTGGGGTCTCTTTTATGTGAGCACGACTCCCATTTGTAATGGGCTGTCACACTTTCTCCACACAGGCTCAGAATGAACAGTGGGTCCCAGCTGCTGCTGCTATTTTGGGAGGTGATGGAAACTTTAGGAGGTGTGGACTGTGTAGAAGAGGTCACTGGGATATGCCTCAGACAGCTACACCTGGCGCTTCTCAAAAGGTTGCACCTTGCTGTGGAATATTCCTTTACACTGTGTGACTATATGTCGCTATGACTGGTTTAATAAACAAACTGACTGGCCAGTAGCTGAACAGGATAAAGTTAGGAAAGAAAGCCAAACTGAGAATGATGGGATGAGGAAGGGCAGAGTCTGGAGTCCCTAGTCAGACGCAGAGGGAGCAGGCGATGAATGGGCCATGCTAATAAAGGTACCACCACATGGCAGAGCATAAATAAGGAATATGGGTTAACTTAAAATGTAAGGGCTAATTAGTAATAAGTCTGAGCTATTGGCCGAATATTTGTTGTAGTGATATATTGTGTTCCCCAATATATTGTGCACTCTAATAAACTTATCTGGGGATCAGAGGACAAAGCCAGCCACTATATTAAACATAGAGGTCAGGCAGTGGTAACACATGCCTTTAATCCTAGCATTCTGGAGGTAGAGATCCATCTGGATCTCTGTGAGTTCAAGGTCACACTGGAAACAGAGCCAGGCAGTGGTGGCACACACTTTTAATCCCAGGAAGTGATGGCAGGAAGCAGAAAGGTATATAAGGCATGAGGACCAGGAACTAGACGCTTTTAGCAGCAGTTCAACTGAGACCCTCAGGGGTGAGGACTCAGAGGCTTTCAGTCTGAGGATTCATGGAAACAGGATTGGCTGTGGAGTTGGTAAAGTGAGGTTGGCAGAGGCTTGTTCTACTCCTCTGAGCTCTCAGTTTTCACCCCAATATCTGGCTCTGGGTTTTTGTTTTTTTTTTTTTAAATAAGACTGTTTAGCAATCTGTGTTACAATTTGTAATTCATCCTAAGCCTCAGAGTGGTTATTTGGGACCAGGCAGTTGGGACAGGAAGCTTCCACCTACAATACCTGGCCCTACTCAGAAGGCTACACCTGCCCTTCTCCCACTGCTTCTCTGCTGTGGGGTTGGGAGGTGAGAAGGCCTCTACTGCAGCTCCTCCTCGATAGCCCACCTCACAAAGGACCCAGAATCCACAAAGCCCAGGACCACGGGCTAAAACCTAGGAAGTCAGAGCCAAGGAAATCTTCTTCCCTTTATGTTGTTAATGTTTGTCTGTCACAGCTGCAAAGGCTGACCTTTGTCCTCATGACCTAACCATGTCCCAAACACCCATCTTCTGTTACCATCACCTTGAGGATTAGAATTTCAACACGGGGGTTTTCGTTTTTTATTTTCTTGTCTTTTTTTTGGAGACTGTATCTTTCTATGTAGCTCTAGCTAGCTTGGAACTCGCTACGTAGTCCAGGCTGGCCTCAAATTCACAGGGATCTGTCTGCCTCTGCCTCGCAAGTGCTGGGGTTAAAGGCCTGTGTCACAACTCCTAGCTCCAATACAGGAAT